CACCGCATAGGCTGGCCTTGAACCCATGATTCCTATGCTTTCAGTTCCCCAAGGCTGGGGTGACAACCACATGCACAATGTCCAGCTTTTGATAGTTGCCTCTAAGCTTAGCCAATGGCGCTGTAGGTTGGTGGAATGGAAGAAGACTGAGGTCCCACTTAATCCTTTTTTTTTTTTTTTTTTTTTTTTTGGTTTTTCGAGACAGGGTTTCTCTGTGTAGCTTTGTGCCTTTCCTGGAACTCATTTTGTAGCCCAGGCTGGCCTCGAACTCATAGAGATCCGCCTGCCTCTGCCTCCCGAGTGCTGGGATTAAAGGCGTGCGCCACCACCGCCCGGCTGCACTTAATCCTTAATCATCTCTTCAAACTAAAGATACATCAGCTTTGGCAATGCCATGGAAGGCACTAACTCTCCAAGGCTATGTGCTGTTCTTTCTGGGGTATGTTCTAGCATGTCTACATTTCATTTTTTGTTGTTGTTGTTGTTAAGAAAAACAACTCTGTTTATATTACTGAGAAATCCAGTCTTTCTTTCTTTACCATAGTTGTTTGTTTGTTTGTCCAGATTTAGGAAGCACCTTGTGCTCTGTATTTGTGAGAGTCATCCTTCCCAGACTGAGTATCCATGTCATTAGATACCAGGCCAATAATTCCTTTCTCATTTTCCTTTTTTGAGTTACACTTCTGAATAACTTCTTATTCTTCTTTCAAAAATGGGAGATATTTAATTGGGTCTGATAAATTCAATAGAAAGTTGTTGACTCCAGTGCCTTTGTATTTTGCACTTCACCTTAAAGAAATAGGCTAAAGACAGTGTAGAGCAGTGGTTCTCCACTTGTGGGTCATGACCTCCACAGGGATTTCATATCAGAGATCCTGCATGTCAGATATTTACATTACGATTCATCACTAGCAAAATTACAGTTATAAAGTAGCAATGAAACAGTTTGATAGCTGGGGGTCACCACACCATGAGAAACTGTATTATAGATAGGGTTGCAGCATTAAGAAGGGTGAGAACCACAGTTCTAGAAGTTTCTGGCTTATGTGGTAACCACATTCTTTACCTTTTCTGTTCATTTTCATTCTTGTTTTTGTTTGTTTGTTTTGCTTTATGAGACAGATTCTTCAACAACTCTGGCTGGCCTTGAGCATAGCCTTGAACTCCTGATCTTCCTGCATCTACCTTCTGGATACTTAGCTTTATAAACATGACCTATCAGAAAGCCATGACAACAAATCCCATGGAAAACAATAACTTTAACATGAGACAAACAATGTTAGATAGATTTTGGAGAAAATTGGAAAGAAATTGATTTATCGTTTTATCATTCTTCTTCATGAGAATGTCTACTTTTGACATATTTCCTGCGTTTAACTATCAATTGACTTGTTTTCTAGCTAGTTTTACAAAGTGATGTATTTGAACTGATTTGCACCTCATTCTTTGCCTCAAAAGTCAGTTTTATGTAGCATTGCTGGAATCAACTAGATTGTTCTTTTTGAAAAATAAAACAAAACAAAACAAAAAATAGCCTTGGCAGCATGTTGAGCTTTGGTTACATTGATTCCCCTGCTTCCTGCATTTCTAGACAGATTTTCGCATTTCCTTCTCCTCTGCTGACTGGCACCACAATACATTTTATTGTCAAGTGTGCTGGGGTGTCAAGCTACTAATGCCAAGGTTGGAGCCTCTGGGGATCAATTTCTGAGGACATGGGTGTTCTGGAAGCCAGTCTCCTCCCTCACCACCCACCCCCAGTCTTTAAAGCAAGCACTGTGCAAACCCAACCAAGCAGATCATTAGCCAAGTGTCGCTCTCGGTGCAAAGGAGGTGAAGGTCATTGTGTTTAGTGACTTGAAGTGCCTCCTTCGAATTGTATCGGCATTCCCCAATAAAATAAATAAATAAATGGGCAGTAAAGTTCAGTGACCTTCGGAGGGTGCAGTGACAGCCATTTAGTGTCAAGTAACAGAGAAGGGTGTAAAGAGGAAATAGAACTGGACACACACACACACACACACACACACACACACACACACACACACACACACAAGAGTTGGGTCTGTCAGAGAAGACAGTGGGAGATTCATCACATTTGAAGATATTTTATTAGATATAAGGTTTTTGTTTAAGGATCCATCACTGCTGGGACAAACCAGTAGGTAGTGTTCTTAAATCATGGCCTCTGTCTTCAGTTGAATATAAAGATCAGGAAGGGGTTCATCTAATGTGTGTTATCTCAGCAACCTTTGGAGGGCACATAGATGGGAATGTCTTTGAAGGGAGCAGGGCTGCGAAGGGAGGCCCAAGCTGTGTGTACAAAGACACGGACTCAGACTTCTTGGAACACGTGCAGCATAAGTAGAGTCCGTGTTTAAGGCATGGCTAGAAGGGAGGACCCATGTGTGGTGGAGGCAGAAGCTCCAGTTCATGGTTGACTTGGACTTGACTAAGTGGGCCTTAGGGAGCTAACACCAGGGGTTTCAGGACGACTAGAATCATAGAGGTTTTTAGCACACAAACTTAGGAACTTGCAAAGACCAACTTCCAAACACCACTAGGAAGTTGGTGCTGTCCCTTCTAGCTTGAACACTAGAGATGATGGTCAGGGGTGGGCTGAATAGACTTGAGCATCATTGATGGATGCTAATCAGCCTAGCAAGAGTAACTTTCTGGCCTTCACTTTTGTCCTTATCTCCTAAAGCAGATCTGACACCAAGGTCAGGGCCAGTCCTATCCAAACTGAGAACGTGACAACTCGGCTCTGCTCAGCTCCACTTGACCTTTAATATTTCTTTTCAGTTTGGTTTTGAATTCTGATCCTAGTTTGACTGTGTTTATAATCCATGACATTTAAGAGTTCATCTTACAGCTCAGGCTCTGCTGGGATGTTACTGAAAAGCTTTGTTTCCTTCTAGATTTAGGGTCACTCCAAGTATTTCTGTTTTCTTCTTGGTGCATAGTTCTGATCTTTGATGAAAAACTAAGTTTTCAGCAGTGTCTTTTTATACAAGGACTGTAAGTTTGCCTGCACGCTGTTTCCACAGACATATTGTGTTATCTTGCGATTAATTTTCATTGATTTAGGTCCTGGGGTACTGGGGTAGAGCTCTCTGGGTAGAGGGCTTTCTCTGCAAGCATGAGGACTTGAGTTTGGATCTCCAGCACACACGTAAAAGGGGGGAAGGACAGCCTGTGCTGTAACCCCACCACTGGGGGCAGAGACAGCAGATTCCGGGAGCTCACCGGCCAGCCAGCCTAGCTGAAAAGGCAAAGTCCAGGTTCAGTGAGAAACCCTATCTCAAAAAAAACTTAAGGTGTGGAACAATTGAAGAAGTCACTTGACAATGATCTCTGGTCTTCATAGGTACCCACAGGTGAGTGGACATGCGCACACACACATGCACACACAAAACATTCAAACATGCACATACACGCATACACACAGACATGACACATACATACATACACTATACACAGAAAAAATACTGAAAATTATATTTTACATATATTATTACAAAATTATTATTTTGACATTTAGCATACAATCAATTGGCAGTATATTATGGAAGAGGGATAATCTACATACAAGACATTGAAAAAGTCCATTTGTTAAGTTGCACTTAATGTGGTGCCTTATAAGGAAGGGGTTATGGGGACCACCCCAACCCTGCCACATAATCACGTACTCACTTCCTAAGTGAGAGAACTGACAAGTCACTTGAGAATTGACAAGTCACTTTACCCTGTACCTGCTTTAGTCAAAATGAAAAGCACTTCGAAGAAAGGGTTCTGGGCATGGGGTCTAAGGGTGAGTCCTCAGGTCTTCTGCTGCCTCCTCTGGAAACCCACAAATTTGGCCTTTACCTTACAGAGATGATTAAAACCCTGACTTACACAGAATCACTTTCTTCAAGATTTGTGTATCGACGATCTTGGGCTTCGGGGTTTTCCTCAGTGTTTCCATTAAGTTGCACATCTGTGCCTCCTCCCCTGACCGACCTCTGCACTGGAAAGAAGTAAAACATCCCGCATTAGCATAACTTCCCAACCCGACAGGTAGTATTTAGCCACTGATTTATAGTCTCTAACCTACATTAGTTTCCATCCCTTTCCACGCATCATGGAGACCCCGTGTGCTCCGTCAACGCTCACTTTTTTTTTTTTTAAATGGATGTGAACTTAACCATTAACTTAACATCTCTGGTTTAATGCAGATACTTTTGTTAAATGACAATATAATTACTAGTCATCGGCAAACCTCAAAAAGGTTGGGAGGTTCGGTTCAGTTAAACACCCAAGAGCTCAGATCCTTATCTGAAGTTTACCCCTTGAGTTTGGCAGGTCCAGGCTGGCAGACTCTCAAGGTGAATCCACAGTATGCGATCTCTGTCAGCGATTCTGTTGTTCGCTTCTCAATATCAGTCCCTCTCTTCTTCAGCCTTGGTTGATGGAGTCCAATAAAATGTAGCCATTAAAACATAAAGAAAGAGGTTGTCCCCATCCAGCTGATGTGAATAAAGTTTTCAGCAAGATAGAGGAAGCAACGGCCTAAAATTGATGGTGGAGGAAAAATTGGTACCATTTTGATTTTTCTTTTTCTTTTTTTTCCCCTTAAAATGTTCAGAACTGCAAAGTTGTCTAGAAGTTTTGGCATCAGGCTGTGGTAGGGTGGAGAGAAATTTCTGGGGATGACAGGGAAATCCTATTTAAAAATGAGCTGTGTGTGTTCCTGTAGAAAAAGTGTTAATGTTTAAACTTCTTTTGGTATGCTGGGACAAGCCAGCAGGTTCTGTACTTAAAAAAAATAATGAAGACGCTTTCACCACTGTGTGTTTTGTGTTTCGTTTAGAAGGCATGCATGTTGCATCAGTGGTGGTTTTTCCAGTTTGGCCTTCTTCTAAATGACTTTTTGTTTTGGGTCTTTCTCGTGTTTTCTGAGATGAGAAAGGCCTTCACTTACAGGGGCACATCTACCCGTGACTTGGAGAAGTGGTATTGTCTGCTACGTAGTTTTGGATTGTCAGTGCCAGAAGGAAGCCTATCTTTGGAGTCGGCGTTTGGTATAGAACTCTTCGGATCTGTGTGGCGTTTGAGCCCTACTGGAGAAATCCAGCCTTGAAATAAAAACTTGGCCTTTTGAGATCTGTTACAGTTGGAGGCAATCTCTCTCTCTCTCTCTCTCTCTCTCTCTCTCTCTCTCTCTCTCTCTCTCTCTCTCTCTCTCTCTGTGTGTGTGTGTGTGAACATGGGAACCTGTGTTCTTGTGTGCATACAGGTATGGGTGTACTTAACTCCAGAGGTCAGCATCATGTGTCTTGACTCTCCTTCTGCTTTGTTAAAGTGACAAGGTCTCTCCCTGAACCCGAAGCTCACTAGACTGACTGGCCAACACGTCCCAGGGACCCTCCTGTTTCTGCCTCCCCAGCAGTGGTCTCTTTATGTGGCTGCTGGGGATGGAACTTGATCCTCATGCCTACAAGGAAAAGCCATCTCCCCAGCTTGAATCAAACCTTAAAAACTATTTACATTCATACTGAATTTATTCCTGTGTCATATGTTTTTTGTTTCTCCTAAGTTTCCTCTGGGATATTTATTTATTTATTTATTTATTTATTTCGAGACAGGGTTTATCTGCGTAGCTTTGCGCCTTTCCTGGAACTCACTTTGGAGACCAGGCTGGCCTCGAACTCACAGAGATCCGCCTGCCTCTGCCTCCCGAGTGCTGGGATTAAAGGCGTGCGCCACCACCGCCCGGCCTGGGATATTTATTTTTTAAAAACAATTTTTTTGATTACAATATAATTACCTCATTTCCCCTCCCTATATACTGGTCAGACACCGCCCCCCCCCACCATGTAACACTCCCTCCTGCTCTTTTTAATGACCTCTTTTTCTTTCATTGTTGTTACACACACACACACACACACACACACACACACACACACCTAAATATATAACCATAACTTGTTCAATCCATATACAATATTAGTTATATATACTTGTGTGTAAGTTATCAGGACTGACATTTTGATATGGGATATCTGCACCACCACCCCTCCCCCAAGCAACCTCTTTTTCTGGCTTAGGATCACCTCAGTATGGCAGGGGGAGCTTGTGTATGAGTTAATCTGATGCTGTGCTCTGTGAATTCAAAAGTGTATCTTGATTGCCTTGTTCCCCAGGAGATGCTCTATGGCCAGCTAGAGCATCTCCCTTTCCATCCTCAAGTTCAGGTTACTCTCTGCGATTCTGCGCTCTTTGGGGGCAACCAACCCTGTGTCCAGCCTCGTTGGTTGGCCTGGGCACACCTACCTACTCCATTATACTACTAGAAAGGTCCACAATGCCTCTTATATTAAAGTGATATCTTTCAATTACTTGGTAGCTTTTCAAATATGCAAGCTTTTGGTGGCCAAGTCAGTTTCCTGGGTGTTCTTAAGTGAACGGGAAGATTTGAACCTTTGTTTTGCCTGGTTTGGTGGGGTTTTCTGGGTCAGGGGAGTTAGCTAACCCTTTCCACAGGTCACTTGGGTCATTTACATGAAAAGGTATTTACTTACTTACTTACTTACTTACTTACTTATTTTTAAAATTCACTCACACATTTTTGTCTCCTCAGAGAAGTTTTAGCCTGCCTTAAACTCCAGGGTTGTGGACCCTTATCATTTAGCTCTAGAACAATTCACATGGCTTCTGCTTTGAGAATACTTTTGAAGGCTTTCCTGAAAGGGGGGTCAATGACTAAAGAAGGTTTTCAAACAATGGAATATCATTGAACTGTAAATATTAGTCTGAACTTGGAGCCCAGTGGGCTAATATTATATTTACTTGAATGGAAAACTCTAGAGGAAATCCTTGGATCAGCACAGGCATGTGAGCAAACAGTGTCGAGCACATAGAATTCCAGTTGTCTTGTAACTATTGTCTCCCAGTCTCTCTTTAGTAGTTAGAACTCAGGTGGAGCGCCCTCTTTCTCTTTCCTGCCCTTTCTTTTTCTCTTTTAAGACAGGCACATGTAGTCCAACTGGCCTCGGCTAAGCTTACTGTGTAACCAAAGATGACTTTGAACTTAGGATCCTCCTGCCTCTACTTCAGAATGCTGGCATTATTGACCATGTCCAGCTATGGCTCTAGAGATCAACCTAGCTCTTCGATCCTGCCAGACAAGCATTCTGCCAAGAGAGACGTCTGTGGGCCCCTGTTTGATTTCTTTAGCTTTGGTTGGACTGGGACGTGCTGAACTTGGTCCTGGGGAGCAGCAGAGTCTTTCTGTGCAGGTCTAGGGTGACATCAACTAGAGCCTGCCAGGTGTCTTTCTGCTTTGCAAGTTCGTAAAAGACTTGAGATAGCTTTCTGGGTTGTGCATTTGAGCAAGTAAGTGCTCTTTCCAGCCATGCATCCTCCACTGGGAACTTCAAACCTTTAGGAACCAGAAGACAGACTGCAGACTTCCTCAGACCCCAAGTCCTCTCTCTCAAACTAGTCAATGGGGCTTCTCCTCATCTCCAAAGGTGGTCACGAATACTGACTACAGGCTTGTAGGGGCTCCTGGGCACATGTGTTACCCCAGCCTCATTCTCTTGGGTGGGGCAATAAACCAAGGCAAGGTGAGCCTGGCTCTTTCTGGTGAAGCATCTTGGTTTCCCCGCGGCAGGTTTGAAAAGGATACTCGGTATTGCAGCTGAACAGGGTTTTTCCATCATTTAAAAAGGGCTCATTAGACTCTGCAAATTGATGCAGCACAAACAACATGGAGAGGGTCTGGGTTCCCACATAAATTAGCTCCATTTCTGCAAGATGAAAAATGCTTTGGCCCCAACTGCCAGTACTACAAACACAGCCCGGCTTGGAAAAAAACAAGGTGTGCCTACTGTGCCTCTTACATCACCAGCAGTCATAAAAGCACTGTAATTAAAACTGAGCTGACAATTTGCTTAATGATGTGTGAGGCAGGGGAAGAGAATCCAAGTAGGGCCCCCACGTGTGGTTGGCTGTAGTTTCTGCCTCCGCTGCTGCCCAGGCAGGGGCAGCGACAGGATTCTGTTACACTTGAGAAAATGGTGACTCACCTAAGAGACCTCAGGGAGGGCGACGAAGCCAAGCCACAGCCCTGAAATCATCAAGACTCTTTTCACCATAATGAGTTTGTGTGAGGGAGAAGGTACTTAAGGTGTCCTGGAACCATCCATTTATAATTAGCCAGGTAGATTAAAAAAATAATTTAAACGATTCTTCACAATATAATATAGGCCAATTAACAGTGTAATTGGTTCACTACAATAATATGAGGGAGGGTTTCTAATTCACTCTTCTGGCCTCAGATTTACTATTATTATATAAGAAAGGACTCTTTTAGAGCCTGAGAAGCACTGGAGTTCAGTTGGGAGGGACACAATGCTGAGTGCGCCATGGTGGATAAGCTCTCTTGTCCAGTGTTCAACCAGAGTTTTCTCTGACCTCTGACCCCAACGTTTCACCATCTACAAAATGAGGAGCCCAACTTCATGCACTCTACATTTGAAAACTTTGGTAACATTCTAGAAAGAGCCAATTAGCTTGTTGCTCAGTTATTGGGATAAACCATTGTACTTGACATTTCTTGAGTTATTCTTGAATAATTTAAAGATGCATTCCTTAAGTACTCTTCAGCTAAAACCCAAGATTGAACAGTGAACATCAGGAGACATTTTCCTGACACATGATGTTAAGCATTTAAGGTAGACAGTTTATCCTCATGCCATTTCTAAAGGCCAGGCTACCATTAATTCATAGAAAAGCACTCTATGTTTATAAACATCTAAATCAAAGAATTACTTCTATGGACTCTATCTACTCTTCAGCTAAATTGACTAGAAAGTAAGGGGATGCTTATGCCAAGAAGACTCCTACCTTATGAAGGGAACTTGAAAGTTCCAATCGATATCTAATAATGTCTTAGGCAGGCAGGAGGCAGCCCTTGGGATTTCCCATTTACAACCCCCTCTGTCCCTGTTTTGAAATTTCTAA